TTATGGATTGTGCTTTTGGTGTCATATATAAGAAATCTTTGCCTAATCCAAGGTTACAACTATTTTTTTTCTATGTTTCCTCTTAGAAGGTTTATAGTTTTTGGTTTCACATTTAGGTCTATGATCAAGTTCGAGTTAATTTTTGTTTATGGTGTAAGGTATAATTTGAAATTCATTTTATATGAATATACACTGGTTCAGCACCATTGGTTGAAGACTGTTCTTTCTCCACTAAATTACCTTTGCACCTGCATTGAGACTCACTTGTTCATATACATGTGGCTCTAATTATGGACTCTACTCTGTTCCACTAGTCTATTTGTCTGTCTTTCATTTATTTATTTATTTATTTTGAGATGAAGTTTCACTCTTGTTGCCCAGGCTAGAGTGCAATGGCACGATCTCAGCTGACTGCAACCTCTGCCTCCCAGGTTCAAGCGATCCTCCTGCCTCAGCCTCCTGAGTAGCTGGGATTATAGGCATGCACTATCATGCCTGGCTGATTTTGTATTTTTAGTAGAGATGGGGTTTCACAATGTTCATCAGACTGGGGGTCTTGAACTCCCGATCTCAGGTGATCTATCCGCCTTGGCCTCCCAAAGTGTGGGGATTACAGGCATGAGCCACCAAGCCCGGCCCTATTTGTCTGTCTGTATAACAACACCACCCTCTCTTGACTTTGAAAAGTGTTAGTCCTTCAACTTTTTTTTTTTTTTTTTTTTTTTTTTGAGATGGAATTTCCCTCGTCGCCTAGGCTGGAGTGCAATGGTTTGATCTCAGCTCACTATAACCTCTACTTCCCGAGTTCAAGCGATTCTCCTGCCTTAACCTCTCGAGCAGCTGAGAGTACAGGCACGAGACACTATACCTGGGTAATTTTTGTATTTTTAGTAAAGACAGGATTTTACCATGTTGGCCGGGATGATCTTGAACTCCTGACCTCCTCCAAGGTGATCTACCTGCTTCCGTCTCCCAAAGTGCTGGGATTACAGGCATGAGCCACTGTGCCCGGCCTCAACTTTGTCCTTTATCACAGTTCTTTTGGCTATTCTAAGTCCTTTACATTTCCATATGAGTTTTAAAATGAGTTTGTCAACTCCTATTAAAATGCTGGGATTTTGATTGTGATTGTATTGAATATATGGATAAATTGGGGGAAATTGACATCTTAATAATATGTCTGACTCATAACTGACCCCATACACAAAGTATTGCCTCCTGGGTTCAAGCGAGTCTTCTGCCTCAGCCTTCTGAATAGCTGGGACTACAGTCACGCACCATCATGCCCAGCTAATTTTTATATTTTTAGTAGAGACAGGGTTTCACCATATAGGCCAGGCTGGTCTCAAACTCCTGACCTCGTGATCCGCCCACCTTGGCCTCCCAAAGTGTTGGGATTACAAGCATGAGCCACTGCACCCGACCTTATTTAGGTCTTATTATTTTCTCAGCAGTATTTTATAGTTATCAGTGTACAGGTCTTTCACATCTTTTGTCAGATTTACCCCTAAGTGCTTCATATTTTTCTGTTCTTGGAAGTAGTATTTTTAAAGTTTTTTCTATTCTGATTGTTCATTGCAAGTGCAATTAATTTTTGTGTATTGACCTTATATCAAAATCATAACCATGTACATGTAGTAACTACCTTGTTAAATTCACTTCATTCTAGTAACTTTTTAAATAGGGTTCTTTGGATTTTCTACATAGATGATCCTTTTATCTGCCAATAAAGACAGTTTTACTTACTGCTTTCCAATCGGTATGCCTTTTATTTCTATTTCTTGTGTTATTGCAGTGGCTAGGACATTTACTATAACATTGAATAGAAGTAGTGAGAATGGACATTTTTGTTTCTGATCTTAGGTGGAAAGTATTCCGTTTTTCCACCATGAGATAGCTGATACTACTACCATGGTACTAGCTGCAAGTTTTTCATGGATGCCTTCCATCAAGTTGAGAATATTTCCATTTATTCCTAGTTTGCTGAGAGCTTTTATCAGGAATAGATGTTGTATTTTGTCAAATGCCTTTTCTCTATTTATTGAAATGATCATATGGGTTTTTTTTTAAGTTTGATAATTTGGTGAATTACATCTATTGTTTTTTTGGATGTTAAACCAAACTTGCATTCCTGGTTTTTTTCTGAGATTGCATAGTATTTCCTCTTCCTCTAAGGAATCACCCAAGCAAAAGTGAAAATGAGAAACAGAAACGCAAATAACATGTTTGATGAAATTTTAGAGAGCAGAAACTCCAAATAAATTAGGTGGACAGGTTGCAAAACAGCAGTGGAAATTGATACGAATTGATATAAACACTTTGGAGACTATTGGGCAACATTTACTAAAGTTGAACATTTGCATACTTTATGACCCAATAATTCCAGTGCAAAAGAAATGAGTGACTCTGTCCACTAAAAGACTTAAAATTATTCATAGATGTTTTATTGATAGCTAAAACCTGGAAATAACCCAAATGTTCATCAACAATCTAAAAGACAGATGAGGAGCACACAGGAAGAGGCCCTAGCTTGATAACATCTGTCTTTTAGATTGATGTGGTCTCTCAGTTTAGAGAGGTTCATAACTTTCATACATGTTACAAATATTTTACCAGGATACGATATCATATATTAATTTTAAAACCTGGTATTTTGGGGGTAAGACATTTGAAGACACAACCTGGAAAATATGATAGAACCAACAGATATTAAATCAAGTTCTTTTAAGATGGAAAATATTTTCAAGGTAGGGAATTGTCACCTGAGAGTGACCCAAGTCTTTCAGCAAGCCCCAAAACCTGTGAAATTAACCTGTGTCCACAGCTGTGCTTGCTTCCAAAAATGGAGGCTGGAAGCCAGGAACCACAAAGGAGCCACAAAATGAGAAGAGACCTCACAGTACTACCCTGAATCCTTGCCTCATTACCATATTGAAATCTCCATGCAGGGTTGGGGGTAGAGCTGCACCTTGCCAGGGCACATATAGGGCTAGGGTGAAGGAGAGACTGAACACAATTCAGTTTTCCTTGGAAAGCCCTACCTTTCCAGGAATCCCCGCCCTCAGTCTCTACCTACCTGCCCTAAGACATCTTACAAACCCCTTTCACCCTACCCCCAACTCCCCAAAAAGGTGCTTTGAGCACAAGCTCCCCTTCTCCTTTCTTTGATCAACGATAAAGTTTCTGCTCTGCTTAACTGAGCCTGGTCTCATTCTATTGGCATGAACGGCATCAAGCAGGGGGAAAAAAAACCCACTGGAATCAAAGACCCCCCTTGAGTTGAGGGTCGGTAACAAAATCAGTACAAAGAATGCAAATATGAGCTCCAGAATATAGATGAAAATGCTCAGCAGAAAAAAAACAAAAACAAACCAAAAAACTTGTCCAAAGGTGGCTGCAATCACACCCTGTTGGAGCCTCACAAATGCCAGCTCTTTACCTCAGGGCCATGGATAATATCAGGCTGGAGCTGTGCCAGGAGTCGGAGTCCCAGCTCAGTCGGCTGTATCGGGCTGTTCCTTCTCCAGGGTTCTCAGGAACTCTGCCGTCGTTGCCTCTGGGTCTCTGGTGACGGGGAGTGGGGACAGGCCGGAGATTTGGGGCAAGGGTGAGAGTCAACGAAGCTGCCACTGTGATGACGGTGGGCCTGAGATTTCTCTTCTTACCCTCTCGACCCGCCCCGAGTGCTGTTGTCTTAGCCTGTGGGACACCCCTCCCCCACGTCCCTTCCTACCTCCTACCCCCGCCAAACCTTCTCCCTCGTTGCCAAAGCCAGAGGGCTCGCCCTGGGCCGTCGGTCCCCAGTCCGTGTGCGGCGTGTCCCGGGACATCGACGCTTCTCAGGGCCGCCAGCACATTGCCGGTGTGGATGCCCACGGCCCTTTCACCCAGGACAGGCTTGGGGCTTCTCTCCCAGCCTCAGACCCTCGTCTGTCCGCCTCTGCCCGAAGGTCATCGCTCCGGCCTCTGCCCCCTCCAGCCGTCGCCCTCGCCCGTCTCCGGGCGCCTGGGCATCGGGGAGAGCAGTGCCCTCGGTGCTTCGCACCCCGCGGCCGGACTCCAGTGTCCTCGCGCGGTCCCCACCGCAGGGGATCAGCCAGCGCGCCTTCCAAAGCCTCAGAGTAACTGCTACCTGACCAACTACTGGTCTTCTCAATGCACCCTGCCCGAAGTGGCCCCTTCCCTCCCGGCGCGTCCTTGACCGCGGCCTCAGTGCCCCTGTCCCTGCCCCCGGGCCTTGGGCGTCTAGCGCGCGCTGCACAGGCGTCCTCCCCCTCCCTGACGACCCTGTCTCCTCCCTCCTTCCTTCCCCGTGGCCGGCTGCCGCTCCCCTGACCCCCAGTTTCGCTCAGGCTCTCCGAACTTCCCCCTCTCTCTGCACCCGCGAGTTTGAAGGCGAGCACCGCCCTCGCGGTTTCCCGCAGCTGGCCCTTGGAGGTTCCTGGGTGTCGCAAATCTTCCTTCTTTCGGGGACCCCTCTCCTTCCGTGAGTGGCGACTGACGCTCCATCTCTTGAAGGAGCCCCTCAGCAGCTTGCTCCCCCGATGTCGCCTTCCCTGTTCCTTAGGGAGGAGGGAAACCCTATTGCGCACCCCCACCCATCCTCCAGCACAAGTCTGCACCAATGTGGATCCCCTCTCTCCTTAGACGCAAGGCCCCTCTCGCTGTCACCGCCTCCTCTCCGGTTCCTTATGCTCTCCTTGACCTTATTTTTCTGGCCAGGCCGAAGTGATTGCTGGATTTCCGGCCCACAGTCCAGTCCCAGGAGAGCTGGCTGCGAGGTGCGGTGGGGGAGGGCAGGCAAAACCGTCCACCCAGCAGCCCAGGTCACACACAGGCCAATAGGAAGGCTCGCCCTTCCTGGCTCAAACCAGAATGGCTTAGAACTCCATCATTTCAACATGCTCATTCTCCCCAGACTTGCATTTTTAAGGCTTTTAACTCTAAATGGATGAGTTTTTCTCCTTTTAAAGGAATTTCAGGAATGATGTTGATGGTATCACGTTTTGCCTCTGCAAAGTCTCGAGCTTTATTGCCTGCTATCCCTATACCCTACCCCCATTTGCCTGCCCCTAGAGTTGTTCATTTCATTCTGTTTATCTTTCATTTTTACGTGTTCTCGCCAAAAAGTGTCTTGTTTTGCTGAAATGCCTTTTAAATTTGTGTAAAAGGAATTATCGTTCCATTTCTTATTCAATGCTAAGATGTTAAGATTGGTCTGTGTACCTTCTGCCCCTTCTAACTGCTGCCTCCTTTCCAGAGGGCCCATCTACCTTGTTTTACCCTTCCCTTTACCTACCCTGCTCCCACTAGTAACAGTGCAATAGGCATTCTCATAATACCCTCTTACGCTTCGCTTCTCAAACAGGGTGCAATTTATCACCTGGGAATCTTGTTAAAATGTGGGCTCTTGGCTCGGCACCGTGGCTAATGCTGTAATCCTAGCACTTTGGGAGGCTGAGGTGGGCGGATCACCTGAGGTCAGAAATTCAAGACCAGCCTGGCCATGGTGAAACCCTGTCTCTACTAAAAATACAAAAATTAGCCAGACATGTTGGCGGGTGCCTGTAATCCCAGCTACTCAGGAGGCTGAGGCAGGAGAATCACTTGAACCTGAGAGGCAGAGTGCAGTGAACCAAGATTGCACCACTGCAATCCCGTCTGGACAACAGAGTGAGACTCTGTCTCAAAAAAAAAAGAAACGAAATGCAGGCTCTGATTCAGCCGGTCTGGAGCAGGGCCTGAGACTGCATTTCCAACTAGCTTCTAGGTGATGCCTTTTTTGCTGATTCTGGGACCACATTTTGGGGAGCAAGACTTTTATAGGCCTCTGTGAAAATTCATTCTGGGGTTCTGGGTCCTAGGGTATATGTTGATCTAATTTGTTGAGTATTGCCCATCTGCTTTCCAGTCTGGCTGCACCTCCTTACCCCATACCAGCTGGGCAGGAGGGTAAAATGTATATATTCTGTGGGGAAAGGAAGAAAGTCTTCTTGTTCCTGCCCACATCTCATCCACCAGTGCCTATGATAAGGGCCCAAAACTCCTCTCTCCCTTCGTTGGAATGGACCCGAGGTTCCAGAGCAATGTCCCTGGCTAGCAATGCATGACCAAGTCAATAACGGATCCAGGCCAGGCAACCTGGTCTCTGTCCTCACTACGTGGGACCCTGAATCCTCAGCCCACCAGATGTCTAGATTGATTTGGCTCATAACCTCCCTAGACGTGGGCTTTAGCTCTGATAGGAGCTCTTGAGAAGCCATGGAGTCTTCAGTTTAGTTGTTTGTATTTCCTTTGCGCCGTTCACCTTCCCTTGAGTAGCCTGGTAGGAGTCAGATGGCCTTGCCTTGCCACTGGTCAATGACTATCCTGGGCCTGACTTCTCCTCTCTAAAATGGGATGTTCACAGGATAGCTATAGTTTGTGGTGCTAGGAGCGGTCCCAGTCCTTCACTTGCATGCCAGAAGCCGTGAGACAGGGGCTCTTGCTTTAGTTTTACCCATAAGGAAAGTGAGGTTGAGCAAGGTTTAGCAATTTCTGCTAAGGCAATGGAGGTAGTAAGTGAGAGTTCTGGGATTCAAGCCCAGCCTCAGCTCATACACCAAAACCATCTAACCATGAGGCACGTCAGCTCCATGTCCCACCTCGCCCTCACTACCAGGCCATAATTCAGAGAGAACTACAAAGAAACAGGAAGGAAGAACTGGACCTTGGGTTTTGGGCACTGATGCTGAAGTCATCTAACCAGTGGCACGGAGGGTCGAAAAACTCTAAGGCAAAAATGAACCAGGGTTCTAGGGGCTGGTCCCAAGGGCCTAAGTATTTATGGGGCAAGAGAGGGGGACGTTGGGTCTGGGGCTTCAAGAGCAAGGATTTTAGGGTTACATATAAAGCAGGGATCAGAAGTGGGCGGGAGTTGGGGATGGCCAGGGATTGGGTGGGGGTCACGTGTGGATAAAGTTGTCTATCATGTACCTTACTTGGTGATAACCGATCACTCAATGTTTTGTTGGAGGGGCCAGCAGGCAAACAAATGGTCAGCATTCAGGGCATCAAAGGATTTCCCCTTCCAAGGCCCTTCTGGTGCCTGAGTGGCTTGCTGGGTCAGTTTTGGAAACCCTGAGGTTATGCTCCCCCCACTCACAGAGCTGTGCAACCATCTCCTGGCACCCAGCCCCAGGCCCAAGCATTTCACAATCAAAATAGTTCCACATCTGCACATTTTGAGATTTCATGGCACATGACCTTTTACATCTTGTCCACACTTATCCAGCCTCTTGTTAACCATTCTAGGGCCAAAATTCTATCTAGGACAGAGAATTGATCTGAAAGCCAGAGAAGCTTCCTATTTCTTCAGCAGTCTTTGGGGTCAAAAGATCTTTTGAGCATACGGAATATTCTTAGAGCTCAAAACAGCATCTTACAGCTTTTTGGTTTTTACAAAATGCTTCACAAACAGATATTGCCCTTGACTCACAACAACCCCATGACAGGGGTGGCCCACCTAACACTGAGGCTCAAATGAATTAATTGGCCAAGGCCACACATTGTGTAAGTGGGTGAAATGGGACTTCTTGACCATTTTTCCATAACAGACCTTGGGACTCTTAGAGAGTGAGTTCGTACTATCTGACCCCAGTTGGTCCATTTCTCAGACTTGGGAATGTGGACTGAGGCAGGAAGAAGGAAGTCTAGGGAGGACGATGAATGGGTTGCAAGGTCTGGAAGGCGAGTGAGTTGAGGTTTCCTGGGGCTTCTGGTCAGCCTTCTCCCTGATAGGTTTTCTGTCACTGCGACGCTCTCTAGAGTCTGTGGTTCTCCTGGAAATGGAAAGAGGGGATTGGTGGGAGGAATGGCAAGACCAGGGGTACCCAGGTAGAAGTTCTCAGTGAGTCTGAAGCTGAGACAGCTGAGTGGCTGTGAGAAAACGATGCTGTCAGTTGCCGAGGGGGCTTCACGGGTATCACCAAATCCACATGGGCGCTCTTGGTGGCTTGGCCAGGCTCTGCCCCTGGCTAAGCCGTTTCTACCAATGGCTAAACCATCTGTCTTGGCCCCTCTTCTCAAAGCCCCCCGCCCCTCACACCATGAAGCTGCAGCAATGGCTTGAGGAAGGTGCCCAGGGGTCAGGCCAGTCTACCTGTTAGGGACTGGAGGTCTGGGGCCTGTCAATCCAGGGGGTCCTGGTCCCGTTGCCCTTCCTCTCCCAGCAGGGTCTCAGGCTCTAGGCCAGGGCTCAACAGATGCAGGCAGCGGGATGGAGTTGCCCTTCTATTGATCCAAGTCCTGAGCGTAGGCTGGGTGAGTCATGGAGGTGAGGAGGCCCACAAGGCTCAGCAGCGTGGAGAAGAGCAGCAGGAAGGATGCCATGAAGAGGAGGGCGGGCAGGGCACTGAGCAACAGCAGCAGGAGAGCCGGCAGCACATGGCGCCACACCGCGGCCACAACGGGCCACAAGGAGCTCAGCAGGTAGGAGCCAGTGGTGAAAAGTGCATGGCACAGCATCAGTGCCAGCAGCAGGTAGAGTATCCCCTCCAGACCCCACAGCAGGCGCTGCAGCGGTTGCTGCCAGCTTGAGGTGTTCCACCACTGAATCCAGCTCCGGGGCACATGGGATGCCAACCAGCGCACCCAGCCTTGCCGTGTGAACCAGGCCGACCAGGGCGCTGTCTGCTGTGGCCCCTCACCAGCCCCGATGGTATCTGTCTCCACTCGCGGCTGCTGCATCATGGCTGGTGCACCTGGGGAGAGGGCCAGGGCCTTGGAGATGCCTGGGACCTCAGGAAGGCAGAAAGGGGGTGCAGGGGTCAGGAGGGCACCAACATGGGTGGGTGGGACAACAGAGCTGGGGCCTGAGACTTACCTCTGGGCAGAGTTACCTAAGTCATGTTGCTTCTTGCAGTGCCCAGGATGGCCTGGCAGGCAGATCCAAGTCCTCACTCTCATCTACCCCTACCCTCCCCAGAGGAGCCCCTTTGTGACCCGGGCTGGGGTGGGGTCCCACCAAGAGAGGATCCACTGCAGGGTGTGAGGCCCACCCAAGTCCCTCTGCATGGACCCTCCAGGCTAGCAGGGGAGCCTCGGAGCCCTGCAGGTGTAGTTACTCATGCTTTCTCACGGAAAGCCCTCCCGGGATCCCTGACCCTTCCTTGCTTTCCCTGCTGGCTGATATCCACCCGCTTCCACCCTGTTCTCTTCTGTCTGGACCTTCATTCTCTAGAACCACAGAAGAGGCCAGAGTGGCGGCCCCAAACCCACAGGCTCTGAGATAGCTGCCACATCCTTCCCCAGGCTCCCTGGCTCGTGTCCTGCCTTCTTTTGCTGCCCCAAGACTCAGACCCAGGTATCCAATACCTATGTTATGGGACTGGAGGTCCTGTGAGGTTCAGGCTGGGAAGAAAGGGGTATCGTCCCACCTGCCCAGCCAGGAAGGAGAAAAAGGGACCTGAGGAAGGAGGATGGCCATTGTATATTTGAAGGACACTGAGTTTTTGGGAGGGGCTCTCAGGCCCAAGAATGGAGGCAGAAAGCCAGGGCAAGCAGGGTCAAGGGCATGCTGCAGGCTCTCAGGAGCAGGCCAGGTCCCATGAGCAGCAGCAGCAGCGCATCCTGGAGGCGAAGTTGTCCCGACACTGCCCCCATTTGTAGGAGTAGAGCCTCCTGCTGTCCTGGACCCTCACCGGCCCCCTGACTCTGGCCCCTGGTGAGAAGTTTGCGCTGTGGCTGTGTGCCACCTGCGGGCCTGTGGAGAGAAAGGGTGGTGGCTGGGTTTAGGGAAGTTGTCCACTAGACTGCCTACCTACAATGCCCACCTGCCAGGCTGCTGTCCACTTACCTATGGAGCAGGTCGAAGGTGAGGAAGCTGACCAGCAGCAGCAGCAGCAGTAGGGCTGGGCCAGTCGTGGAACAGAATGCCTGAATCATCATCCCTAGTGCCCCCAGCCCTAGGACACTGTCCAGGAGCTGGGCCCAGCTAGAGCCCCAGGGGGACATACGAGCATGCACTGGATGACTCGACCCCTCCCCAGCATCCAGACCCCTGGGAGGGACTGGGATCGGATCTGCAAGGGCTTTGGGTCTGGGTAAACAGAGCTGGGTCATGGAGAGAGGTGGCAGTGACAGGATGAGCTAGTCCTAAAAGGGATCATGGGGTGGGAATGGGGGAAGGGGTAGGGCCCTGGCAGACACAAGGGTGGGCTCAGAGTGGGGAATTAGGCTCCTGTGGAGTCTCCCCCTCCACCATACTCATCCCCTAAACCCTCCTCACCTGCTCCCACTTTGGTCAGCATTCTAGGACAGCACCTGGGGCATTGTGAGCTGTTGCCAGGTGGGGCCCTGGGGTAGGGAGGGGGCTGCCGCTGCAGCTCTGGCCTCATAAGCAGCTGGTGGCCTAGGTGGGGCTTAGCTGGGAAGTCAGAGATTTCTGAGAACTAAGACTCATCCTCTTGCCATTGCTGATTCTCTGCCCTAGGGCCCTCCCTTGGGGATCTGAGTTGTCAGGAAGGCACTCTAACCCCATTACTACTTAGGCATCTGTCCAAGGGAGCGAGATCTGCTTTCTTCTTCCTGTGAGTTTTCAGAGCTGCATGTTCAGGGGCAGATCATTCAATATTTCTGTCCCCAGCTGTCTTCCCTGTGGGCCCTTCTGGGGATTTTTCAGGCCTGCAGTTCCACCAGGCTCCCGCATAACCTGCTAAATGGAGGTGGGAGAGGAGGGGGCTGTTCAGGTGTTCTAAGCGGTAGTTTATAGGAGGTATTATGCATACTGGGGTTCCAGAAATCAGGCAGAGGACATGAACCTAAGTGGACTGTGACCTAGTAGCCCGAGATTAGAGGTTAAGGTTACACTCTGAGAATGAATGTAAGGAAAATAAGCATCTAGTGAAGGGTTTGGTCACTTGGATTATCAGTAGATCACAATACACTGATAATTTGTAAATGAGTGGTGGCCACAGGGGTTCCAGCACATCTCAGTTTAGTGACTTGAGAGGCAAGAGTAGAAATGTGTCAGAATTAAGAGAACTTGCCGGGCGCGGTGGCTCAAGCCTGTAATCCCAGCACTTTGGGAGGCCGAGGCGGGTGGATCACGAGGTCAAGAGATCGAGACCATCCTGGTCAACATGGTGAAACCCCGTCTCTACTAAAAATACAAAACATTAGCTGGGCATGGTGTTGCGTGCCTGTAATCCCAGCTACTCAGGAGGTTGAGGCAGAAGAATTGCCTGTACCCAGGAGGCGGAGGTTGCGGTGAGCCGAGATCGTGCCATTGCACTTCAGCCTGGGTAACAAGAGTGAAACTCCGTCTCAAAAAAAAAAAAAAAAAGAGAACTTAATCTTTGCCAACATATCATACATTGAACGAAAACTGGTAGGGGTGGCAAAAGGGGAGACAGTGGCCATACAGCCCCTAGGAGAGGAGACAGAACAAGAATCAGACTGTATATCTGCCTCCAGAAGGCCTTTCCCAAAGACTCAGGCCTTGTGGCCCTGATCTCTTTGGTGGAAGTGGGCTTCACAGCCCAAAGAACCAATGTCACCAGCCCTAGGGACCATCGACTGATTGTCCTTGCTCTGGCTCTTTTTGCTTATCCAGTAACTGGGCTTTAGGGGTAGATTTGTCCATAATGGGAAAGGGTATAACAGAAGATCCCAGAATTTTGTATGTGTGTGTCTGTGTATTAAGTTCCAATCGTATTTGTAAAGGAGCATTAAGGTTTAAGATTGCCAATACCCTGAGCCTGATCAACCCTGGATGCATCCACACATTTGCATTCCCGGACATACAGACTTGAGAAGCATGTCGGAATCCAACCCATGACCCAAACACCTCCCATCAGGCCCTACCTCCAACATTGGGGATTATATTTCAGAATAAGATTTGGACAAATATTCAAACTATATCAATGGGTCATAATTACTAAAAGCAGAGCCTGAGATGGGGATTCATATACACATGGTTTATTGAGGGAGTGCTCTCAGGAGAAAAAAATTTTTTTTTTTTTTTGAGGCAGAGTTTTGTTCTTGTTGCCCAGGCTGGAGTGTAATGACACAGTCTTGGCTCACTGCAACCTCCACCTTCCGGCTTCAAGCAATTCTCCTCCCTCAGCTTCCTATGTAGCTGGGATTACAGGCGCCCACCACCACACCTGGCTAATTTTTGTATTTTTAGTAGAGATGGGGTTTTACCATGTCAGCCAGGCTGGTCTTGAACTCCTTACCTCAGGTGATCTACCTACCTCAGCCTCCCAAAGTGCTAGGATTACAGGTGTGAGCCATCATGCCTGGCCAGAAGGTGAAAATTTTTTTAAAATCAAGAGACTCTTCAGAATTGAAGGACATGATTTTCTAGACCATAAGTTTCCACCAATTCACAGCACAATAAAGGAAATTGGGCTAGCTAACACCAAGGCATATGATGAAATTCAAATTACCGGGGATAAAAAGACACTTCTAAGAGCTTCCACCAAATAAAAAGATCACATATATTGGATCTGAAGCCAGAATGATACCACACTTTTAAACACCAATACTGGGTAGCTAGAAGACAATTAATGCCCTCAAAATGATTTCCAATATAGAAATGTTAATGTCAAAATCATTATTAATTGGGAGGGTAGAATAATGACATTTCAACAACAAAAGGTCTCAAAACTTTGACCTTGTATATACCCTTTCTTAGAAAGCTTACTGGAGGATGTGCTTAAGCAAAACAAAGAAACTAAGAAAGAGAGCAATATGGCATTCAACAAATGAGATTAAACACAGAAAAGGTTTAATGATGAGAAAGGCCTGGGATGTCAACTGTACCCCTAAGTAAAGAAAGTAACCAACTGGCCTGAACCAGAAGATGTGCTCCAGGAGTGACGTCTCCAGAGAAAAATGAAATCGGCTGATTATTAGCTATGTTTAGATATATTGAGTAAATATTCAGTTCTATTGGAAACTTTGGGGTTGAATTAGTGATTGGTGCCTAGAAAACTAGGCAAATAATAAGAACAAAGTAATTACTAACTCCAGGTAGCACAAAAAGTTAAATGTCATATTTACATGGTCATAACAAAAGCACTGAATATTGATTCCAAATGGTGGTTTATGTTTACTGAAGACGGAAGGAGGGAGTATACGTTTGTGTATCTGGATGTGTGTATTGAGGGGAGGGTGGCAGAAAAACTAATTCTTTAATTCTATAGCAGAAAATCCACAGATAATAACTACATATAGAAAAATCAAGAAATAGCCAGGCACAGTGGCTCACACCTGTAATCCCAGCACTTTGGGAGGCCGAGGCGGGCAGATCACTTGAGACCAGGAGTTCAAGACCAACCTGGCCAACATGGTGAAACCCCACCTCTACTAAAAATACAAATATTAACTGGGCATGGTGGCGGGCACCTGTAATCCCAGCTACTAGGGTAGTTGAGGTACAAGAATCACTTGAGCTGGGAGGTAAATGTTGTAGTGAGCTGCGATCTCGCCACTGCAGTCCAGACTAGACAACAGAGAAATAATTTTTTTTTTTTTTTAAAGGCCAGGCACAGTGGCTTACGCCATAATCCCAGCACTTTGGGAGGCCGAGGCGGGTGGATCATCTGAGATCAGGAGTTTGAGACCAGCCTGGCCAACACGGTGAAGGCCCTCTTTCTACTAAAAATACAAAAATTAGCCAGGTGTGGTGGCAGGCGCCTGTAATTCCCAGCTACTCAGGAGGCTGAGTCAGGAGAATCGCTTGAACTTGGGAGGTGGAGGTTGCCATGAGCCGAGATTGTGCCACTGCACTCCAGCCTGGGTGACAGAGTGAGACTTTGTCTCAAAAAAAAGAAAGAAAGAAAAAAAAAAGGAAATAACAAGAAATCTCAGCATAGAGATAAATATAGGAGAAAAAACAAAAAAGAATTACAAGTGCCTGGCTTAGGAAAGGCATACAGCAGACTCTTCCATTGCAAGCCTAAATGTGATTTACCTTTAAAACTATATTGCAG